CACCGGAGAAAACACAGGGAGGATCTGTAGGGACCGCTGGTGGGAGGCTCTACATCTGCAGGAAGGAGGCTAGCGGCTATAGGGAACAACAGTGTGGGTCGGCGACTGTAGGCTTCAATTGGAAAGGCCAGTGGCTAGCAGTTCTTGCCTGCAGAGACGACCGACAGTGGCTAGGATTTAGGGTTTAGATCCCGGCTCTTGATACCATCTTGAAATATTGGAGTAGAACATTAAGTATTATTTATATAAAGTGGCGTATGTAAACCTTATTACTAGGGACACTCATAAGGAAAGAACTAAACACATAATAGAGGGGAATAAGAAAGAAATAAAAACAGAATAAAGAGAAATAGGAAACTAAATAACAACAAATAAAAGAAAATTTGCATGTTAATAACGGTTAGGGATAGCCCTTATTATTTTAATATTCTAATACTAATTATTTGGGGTTAGCTTTATGAATCCTCATTATATAATAATTTATGTTGTGGGTTACAATTTTTAAACTTATCTTGGACAAAGTTGTTTGTGCAAATTCCAACCATATTGTTTGTTAATCCCCGTCGTAAGTATGCGATTATAAAGAAATTGCTCTGACCCTCCTTAGGCTTGTTGACTATGAACAATCCATTTTTTTTGTTTAAATTTGATGCAATACACTTTTGAGTCTGTCGAGTTCTTATTGCTTTTTCAATCTTTTAGCTGTGTTATTCCCAATTGAAGCCATTGCTTTCATTCGTCAATTTCATAAGCTCACTCTCTTATGATTTTTTCTTGAACGTTTGTTTGATATTTTCTATCCTATTTTGTGCTGTCATTATTTCTTAATTGTGGATTGACAAAGGATTAACAATCAGAATCAATAATAATTCTAATGTCTCATGCAGTCCATCATAGATGCCTGTTTGGGGTACCACACCGTAGTTTGTCTGTTTGGATAAACTGCATTTTGACAGCTTTTTCAAAAAACTACTACCAAAATCTGTGTTCTCCCACTACTTTTGGCTAGGTGCGGTGGCAACTTTTTAGCTGTGGTCTGGTTTTAAAAAAAATTGTAATAGTTACTACAGCTTTTTGAGCATCAGATTATTATTCAGCAGTTTCACAACTACCTGCAGCTGCCCCAAACAAACCCCAAGTTACGGACCTTCATTCGACCATTATTAATAACTAAGGTGTAGGATGTGCAGATTCATTAACCTCTTGGTTCTACTTATATCTGTAAACTCATTTATAAAGCTTAAGTTTTGCTTCTCTATGCATTCTCTGTCAGCCCCGACCTAGGCAGTAGTTAATTGAAATTTGTCCGACATCAAATAATTTTATGCAAATTTTGGGTTTGAAAATTTTTGGTGGTTGATCATAGTTACGATGATTTTATGACAATTATCAAGCCTCTTGTGGTTCATAATGATGATTTGCTCATGGTACTTTATTCTGCTAGAAATTGAATCTAAAATTGTGTAGAGTCGTTGTATTTGCCTGTCTCTACATAGTTTAACCTTCACTTACAAAAGCTTGGTTGTGCCTCGATCAATACAAGCATTTGGAGCCAAGTTGTCTTTCATCGTGGATGCCCTTTTGCAAGATGATTTAGAACCTATTTATACTCAATATTGCTCAAATTCAGAAGATCTAATGTTTAGATTATGATTCTTCATTCATGATATTTTAATCATAACTATTTTTGGTTGTTGGATATTTCTATACCGTCGATAGAATGACTAGAGAATGTCTGTCACTTTGATGTGTGCTTACACACTACGACTTGAAGAAATAAGTCTGCATGACACAAGGGTTTTTTTTATGGGAAGAAGCATCTCACTCTTCATTAGATTGAGAAAGGACTCTCTTAGGCTCACGTAAATGAACGATACACGAAGTTCTACATAAGAGATTCATGAATACGTTGAGGCTTGTTTTTAAATTTGGCCAAGTGTATTTTTATTTCATCACATGTACAAAAGGGGAAGATTTTTTCGTACCACAATCACAAAATATCAACTCTAATTATCATGTCCAATGTGGATATGCTTGATTCGTGACATATCAACTTTGAAAGCCATGTCATAGTAAACTAAAGTGTGTTGTCACGGTAAATGACTCTTCCCTTTGTTTTAGTCATCGTTTTGCTTTGTGCAGCTCACATCTTAGATCTAGTTAGGGCTGGGCAATGAGCACACTAGTTCTGTGCGCATTGGATTGACTCAATTCATTCAAGCTAGTCTTGAACTAAGATGGTTTGTTTCACCCTTGAGAGGCATACCGGATTTGGCCTTTAGGAGCGGACCAACTTAGAGGAGGAAAACAGTTGTTACTATTACTACTCTGGAGATGTTTATGGGGAGTAACAGTCCTTTTTGGCTATCTCGTAGAGGTTGTTGGATATGGTATGGTACCACACATTTCCTCATTGGAGCTGGATACAGAGAGGATTTTCTGATGGAACCTTTGAAAGAGCCTACTTGGCTGAAGTTTGAATGCCTAGAATGATTCATAGGGAGGACGGTGTCGCTCTTGGGATTATTCATAGGTACCACACATTTCCTCATTGGAGCTGGATACAAAGAGGATTTTTCTGATCGAACCTTTGAAAGAGCCTACTTCGCTGAAGTTTGAATGCCTAAGTTTGAATGCCTAGAATGATTCATAGGGAGGACAGTGTTGCTATACTTCGCTGAAGTTTGAATGCCTAGAATGATTCATCTAGAATGATTCATAGGGAGGACAGTGTTGCTTTTGGGTGCTACCAGAGACCTTTCTACTACATTTTCTTCTTACAAGTGGTTTTTCTAGCAAATGATCTTCGATTAGCCTCAAGCATGGCGGTTTGGTGGCGGCCATGTGTCTACTGACGGGTGACAATGAGGCATGGGGGGTACCCCCCTTTATCTTCTCCCTTCACTTTGGGCGCTCAAAACCCATGCATAAGTGTTACACTCACACACAAGTGACTGGAGTCCAAATTGCAGCATGCTCAACCCAATTAATCCCACATGCTCGTGAATGGGTCTCACACCAAATTTGTGTTGGATGGCGATTATTCCATCCTTTCCAAGTCGGCACTTTTTTTTTTTTCCAGTTTTGAGAAAGATCCGACCTCTTTAATCATTTCCAACCAAGTAGCATTTATGTTTTATGCGTTTATTGAATTTTACAGAACTCGATTGCATGATTTGATTCTATCACGTGCATCATGTATAAAACTTGGTTTATTTTTTGGCAAGGAATTCCAAGCCAATAATATTTTTTCCTCTATGTTAAGAGTTCTAACATTACTTTGAAACTTGGTTTTTAAAGGATGTAATGATGGCAATCATGCTATGAAATATTGAGATGGAAATACTAATTTAAGAAATTATTAAATGCTAATTTTATGAAAATCTTTATTTTCGAAGAGCATGGTGAACAAATTAACAAGACTTCATAGATTTTTCCAAAAGGTTAAATTGGGTTGGCTGTAAAGATGATGCATGAATATAAATCTTTAAGTTCAAATGAGATACATATTCATATTTGAAAAAGTTATGAGAGAGATTGTACATGGTTGGTTAACAAAATCCTCGTAATAAAATTTTGTAGACTAAGAGGAAACCAAGTAATTATAGAAGTATTTTGGTATCAATATATTGAAGTAAAATAGATTCCAAATTTTATGCTAATTATAGAAGAACTAAAAGCTTATGAGTTATACAATGAAATTATGTAGAAAGTAATAGAACATAGACTTAGAAAATTTGCATTATTTGAAAGTATTAATTTAGTTGCATGCCCAAAAGATCCACTATAAAAGCGTTTTTTTTTTGTTAAGATAATTAATCCAAAAGTATATTGAGTAGAGAAATGATCTTTATGAATTTTATTGCTCTTCAAATGTCATATAATTGCATTTCAGGAGACTTGATTTGGTGTGCAACCGGAAAGAAACATGTTCATTCAAGATATGCCAAAGTTTTTTAAGATATGTATGATGGAGAACTATGTGACTTGGTATATGTTTTTGCTAAGATCAAGATCAATTATTTTGTGGTTAAGATTATATCAAGGATTCTTAATTATTGTAATATTTTATCAATGATGAATATTAATTTCATATATATTTTTTAACATTAGTTAAATATATTCTTGTAAATGATATTCAAAGGAGTGTGTTTTGGCATATTTTTTTTACAAATGATAGTTCTAGTTGAAGGGACATTTATTAAAATAGAGGAGATAATAATGTAGATAAATGTTTAAAAGATAGACGACTTAGAAGTTAGGAAAACTTGTTTACTATATGATACAAAAATCTACTGAACTATTATGTTGGCAATTATCCATTAATTTTATTAAAGGATAAAGTGATACCTACTTGTGATAGGTTTTAGTATCTAGAATCTCTTTTTAGAAGAATAGGCATATGAATAAGGATATGACATCTAGAGTTAAATGATGGATTGTTAAAAAAATGAAGTGTCTAGTTGGATTATGTGATAAGAGGATATCATAGAGCCCTAAATGTAATTTTTATAAAATTGCAAGTATGTTGTTATATTGCTTGGATTTGAGCATTGGGAAGTTAAAAAAACTTATTGATAGCTAGGTTGAGCGTGAAGGAAATGAGAACTTTAAGGTGGATGGATGATAAAATTTAAGTTATGATTAAGGAATGATTACATTAGAGATATAATTGTTGAAGCATCTATGGAAGATAAGGTTGTTGAAAATAGACTCTTTTACATATTCAATGAAGGGTAGAATTTAGAGGCACAAATAAAATTATTATCAAATGATTATGAGGGGAAATAGGTAGGCCTAAGGTAATGTTTTTGTGTAGGAAGGATTTACAAAGAATATGTTTAACAACTTGTGTAGTACTTTGCAAAAACAATTGAAAATGTTGGTTCATAATGCTAAACCCCGATGCTAGGTATAAGGTTAACGATAATAGTATTATTTTGACTTATTTTTGTGATGTAATTTATTAACAACCTTGCCCTTCTTTTAACTACTGATAGGTAGTATCGGTGGATCTGGAGCTATCGAGGAGTTGAAGGGTTGGCACAACATTCTAAGAGACTGTGTTGGGCAATTAAAGGTTGCAGAATCATCGAGGATAACCCTACAGTCTCATTTAAGAGAAGCACTGCACGAGCAGGTGAGTCAAATGGTTTTCTTTCTGTTTTCGTTGCTCTTTATTGTGTCCTGCTTTGAAACTTGTTCTCATATGTTATGTGACTATACAGGAATTGAAGATTGAGCAGGTCCATGATCAGCTTCAGGTATGCATTAAGCAGTTTTAAAACTTCAAAGCAATGTTTTAATTTTTACTTTTTTTTAAAAAAAATATTTTTTTTGGCGGTGGCAGTTAAAGCTGTATTTCTGAAATTCTGTTTTATTTATTCTGCAACTATGCATGTTCATAAAATTTTCCAGTAATTCATATTTCCAATTGTATCTGACCATTATTTGAAGTTTTTGATTTGGAGAACAAGGTAAGCTCTCCTTATTAACTATGCCAACCTTTTAAATCTGAACCTATTGTATAGAAAGCCAAGCATAATCTTAATTATTCTTTTCAATTCCGTTTTTCTAATATCTTGTGAGCATCAAGCGCATTTCTTTAATGATATTGACAGAGTGATTGGGAATTAAAAGAATTGATCTATTATATTATATAGGAACTAAGAAATTGATGAGAATTGTCTTAGTATTTCATTCCAATATTTGTGTACTGTTTTTATAATCTCAAGTTTGCTTTAATGGAAAATATACAAAATAAGGGAAAAATTGTTATAATATAACTGTAATAGTTCATAGATAGGGGTCCTACATATCAGAGAGGTGGCGTTAAGAGGAGAAAAGATGGGCATAAACCTTGTTGAGCATGAGTCACAGTTGGCGGAAATTAAAGTTCTCACACACTTTCAAGTGAATGAATGGATGACATCCAATCCAAACTTGTCTAATAACTTATGAACAATTGCCCCTGATAATCTTTTAGCGACAATGTTATCAAATTGTTTACCTATGGTTACGAGTGGAGTACATTTTAAACCACTATCAAATTTTTCTTTTAAAGCATCTTTCAACTTTAATATATTTTACACGATCATGTTGCACAAAATTATGTGTGATTGATGTTAGATCTTGCTACCATATTATACAAGAGTCAACGAGCAATGCAACTTTTATTATTGAAATCAAGTAGGAGTTACAATCAAAACATTCAAAAACAGGAAATAAAGAAAAACATGACTCAAACTTGAAACTAGGGCTGGATCAAAGGGGTGGTGGAGATGTTCGGTGCAGGTTCAGAAGGTGGCTGAGTGGTGGAAATGGTTGCTTAGCAAGCGAAAACAGTAAGGCAGTTGTTTCTTAGGTTCCCAAACAACAAGCAAGCGATAGAGATTGACGTGGAGGGCCTTTTTCCTGGGTGGTGGCAACTAGATTCCTGGGTGTTGGGTTGGGCTTGAACCGGTTTTTATTTGAAAAATCATAGCTAAACCTGCTCACTCTATGTCCGGGCCAGGCTGGCCCTGTCCACGGGCCTTAAAAAATATTTTTGAATGTATAAAAAGATATTTCAAGTTGAAACAGTTCTATTTTCTCAATCATACACAAAAAATAAAACCAACAGTAAGAATCTTTGGCAAAAAGGAGGACATTATATGTTGTTATTTCTATATTTTGGTGAGATGTTAAAAAATAGATGCAAGGTGGTGTTGATTTTTGTAAATAGCAATATTTATATCCAAAATCCAGTTCTCAACATTTGACGGATATGATAAGATGCAGTTTTGAAGCCCAACAGTTTGTGTAAATACATGAACATGAGCAGCTTTCTTAAGAAAGCCTTGAACATTAAAGCCGCCAAAGAATAAGTAAAACAATAAAAAGACTTGCTAAGTCTGGGAGATTGGGATTTACATATTTACACATATCCAAAATCCAAATTTTTCTGTATTTAGCGAGCGAAAGGGAAATAGAGAATCTGGCAATCAACGAATGAGTAAATAATAAATTGGGATTTTTTTAGACTAGGTATTATGTGGGCGGGTTAGGTTTGGTTATTGTGGACTTTGACCAAGTCGAAGAGGGGCTCAGGCCAGGCAGTGACGGGTAAGGGCCTGCTAAATTTTTATTTTTTTACAGCCAATACTGCTCGCTCTAAGCGAGCTTATGCGGGCTCGTCGGGCCACCCACCCAACAACCAGGTCTAGTGGCAATAAGGAATGAAGTGGCGGTGGCACATGGGAGGCGTCTATCGGTGTGGATATGTGGAGGTTGTTGTTGCAGATGGTGACAACAAGCCTGATTGGTGGGGAGGTCTGGAAGCGTCTATAACAACAAAGACTTGGTGTCCCGAGGAGACAACCAAATCTGGGATGATGGACGGAGGTTGGTGACGACTAGAATTGCATAAACAACAGGGAAACAACTGGAACAGGCGAAACCCCGCTGCGAAACCCCGCTAGACAGGGACGATTTTCCAAGAAGAATAGTAAAAGGGGTGCTGTCGGGGTAGCTTGCAGCTAGGCGGAATGCGTGGCACTGTCGAGGCAGCCTGCAACGAGGCGGAATGCGTGACAGCGAAGCGGGTGGGATGCGGAGGAACTGGGGCAGGGTAAATCACCACCTCAGGAGCGAGATACAGCTAGAGTACCACTCGACTCTTTGAAGATATTCACCATCTTGGAACGTGATACAGTCAGCACCACTCCATTTGGCTACAACCCTCAAAGTGAGAAAGAAACGTCAGTGGCTTTCTTGATAGAAACTCAATCCAAAAATTGCATACCTAAAACACTAAAAGCAAATATAGCCTAGGTTAAATAGAAGTGAAACCCACTCCAAATAGGAAGGAAATCTCTTCTTAGAAGGATCGGCTGGCCCTTATCGTGCTTGGACCGAACTATCCAGATGTGGAAATTGACGCGCCCTGTGTGGAGACGCAATCACGTGTTCTCGTAAGTTGGAGACACCTCGTTTCAACTATATTGTGTTTTTAACTTCTGTAATTCCTACAGTTGTCTCTAAGAATGTAATGTCCTGAAGTTGACATCTTGTCTGCCATAGAACCCATGTAATCTGCATTTGTGCATGTTTGAAGAGTCAAATCAAACTCCTCCCTCCCCCTTTGCATATAGTTTCTTTGATTGGGGTTCTTTTAAAATATAGTAAAATGCTATATATTACCATAAGATGTAATTCTTTAGTATTGTGCATGAATTGACTCACCATATGAACAATGTATGTAATGCTAGGCCTAGTATTTGATAAGTATTTTCTATATATTGTGTTTATGTGTGATTCTCTAATTGGAGTCTTTTTCTACTGTCCTGTTTTTGAAAAGCGTCTCCGAGTTTCTGATTGAATTCGATGGGGTCAAAAATTTTGCAACCTAATTTACTCATTTCTTTCAATAGTTCTGTATTATGTATTTTTATTATGATATGAAAATTCCATATCGAGAGTGTGCTACTATGCCTTGGATAGAGTTTCGCTTCTTTAATTCTTTGACTTCAAATTTTTTAGCAATTTTTTTTAATTCTATGTTCCTTTCTAGTCACTATCTGCTATGATAATGTTATCAATATAACTAATAGGGTAATAACTTTCTTGAAACCATTTCACAAGAAAGATATGGTCTCATTTGTTTAATTTTTTTAATTTTTTTAATTTTTGTGTATCACATATTGAGCATTACCTTGATAAACCTTCGAAACTATGCCTTAGAGGTTAATTTTACCCATGAAATGCCTTCTGTTAGCTTACATGTTTTTACTCTTTATTTGGGCCAAATTCTGATGGAACCTCCATATGTTATTCCTTTTTTTGGACACCTAGTTCATCATGTCACAAGATATTCTTCATTTCAAGTTGAAACTAATTTATGGAAATGCAATGATGAAGATTGTATTTACAGAAAAGTAGGGGAAATGAAAGAAATAGAATTGCGACAATGAAGGATTGTATGTTCTAGGCACCACAATGCTAAATGCTATGAAAAATAATATAAAAAGTTTCCAAGGCACTAATATCATGAAGAAAATTGGAGACATTAGGCTTTAATTCTCACATTTGTATAGCATTCGTATAATTGTGGGTGAGCTTCTAATAGGAAGCATACAAAATCATGGAATAATAATTATTTTGTCCATGGATATTGATGATTAGGCAACAGGGATCCCACAGATTAAGGCAGTGGTAAGAGAAAAGGATGGAAATATGGCTGAAGTCTTGTGAGTTTTCGCAGTTAGTGGAAATTATGTAGCCATTTCACATAAATTTAGAATGGAGAAAGGCCAAGTTCAAATTGCATGAATTGATGTGTCTATATGCTAGTCCCATATTTTAAATAATTAGAAGTCCATTTGGGGCAGTTTCAACTTTTTATGGTGGTTGTAAAGCTGTAGTTAGGAAATCAATTTTAATTAGGTAGCTGTAAAAAAACCGACGTCCCGACTTAAACTATATATACATATGTATATATATACATATGTATATATAGTTTAAGTCGGGACGTCGGTTTTTTTACAGCTACCTAATTTTAGGAGATCTTCCTTTTTTTTTTTTGTTGAAAGACAACATGAAAACAATTGTTAAGTGAAGGTATGACAACAGTTGAAAATGCAAAACAGACTCTAACATTCAATATTTATAACAATGGTTAAGGCTTTTCATCTGCCTCTTGGATCTTGTTTGTAGCTCTTTCTTTGACATGAAATTGACAAGTTTATTTTATATTGAAGTTTGTCCTCAACTGTTTTCAAACTGTAACTGCTTTTCTCTTTAAGTTCATTTATTCTCATTTCACATAAAAAGATCAAGGTTCCCTGGCAAAAGATGGTAATTACCATCATTTTCTTTTTTCATTCTGTATCTTCAAAAATTAACTAAGATTTTGTATGAGGAGATGATTGGTCATGGTTGTTATCCAATCTCTATTTATATGGTGTGTGTCACCCCACCCATCTCATCCTCCTTTTTTCCTTCCTGTCTCATTTTGTCTTTTAAACTTGCAATGTTGCCATTTTTGACTGTGTGCTCGACCACCTTTCTCATCTTCTCGTCATAATTTGTCTCAACTAGAAATAATTTTTCCTATGCAATGCAGTTGTGCTTAATTTTCTTGCTCCTGGCACCACTAGCTAAAATTGTTACTGTAAAATGCGTTATAGGAGAGGTAGGCTGAATTAGAGGATCAAACTGTATAACAGTAAAAAAATTGTTGGAAAAAAGTACAATTTTAAAGATTTTAGGTAATTTTGTTATGAAA